TCTTAGTGCAGGTCTTGGGAGGCAGCAGGTGAATGGCTCAAGTAATTGAGTTCCTACCACCAATATGAGAAATCCAGATTAAGTTCCTGGATCCCTTTCCACTCAGGCGCAACTGTTGTAGGCATTTGGGACGTAATCCAATGAATGTGAGATCTGTGTATTTTTCTCTCCTTGTCTGTTTGATTCAAAAGATAAATGCACAAACTTGTTTTTGTAAGTTGTGTTTGTTTCCCAGAAAAATCACTAATACAGGCTGGGTGTTTTGGGTCATTTCACAAGTTTAGGTACTTGTGTTTCTAAGCAAAGTTTGATAATACAAAAAAATACTTAGGACTGCCTGATACTCTCCATAGTTTTCAACATACAAGCATTGTTTCCCATTGTTTAATGCTTCTCTTTGTGAACAAACTTCTGTGACACTTGAGTCCTTTACATTTTTAATATAGGCTTTTGTCCAAGGACTATGATTTTGTTTCCCTGTATTTATGATCTGATAGTCATGGCTTTCTTTCCATTGTCTACCTGTGCTTAGAATAATGACCTTGATTTTCCTTAAAACTTTATCACTGTTATATAAGCCTCTCTCATATTCTTAAAACTGTCTTACTTTGAACTAACGTACTTGATGGCTTCCCAGTGAAAGACATTCTTTATTTAGCCTTTTTATTTACTTGGAGGATCAAAGTAAATGGATGAAAGCAGAGCTTCCTATGATCTACTTGATTTAACAGTGTGTTCGTTTTATTTAGGGATTAAACATAGCTGTGGTGAGGGAATGATGTGTTAGGCATAAAATGACCTATGTTCTGTTTCCAGTTTTGTACATTCAAACTTGCAATGAACATGTTGACTCTGTCTTGTATGATCCTGCCACACAATTTATAGTCATAAGCCAAAAAAGACACAGTGTGACTTATTTATTTATATAACATTAAGAGAATATTTAAAATATTTTAACTTTACTTATTTTGCTTGAATTTCAGAGAGGCACACTGACAACATCTGACATTTGTGGGCTCGCTTTCAAATGCTCACAGTATTTGGGGTCAGGCCAATGCCTAAGCCCAGGAACTCGAGCTGATTAGCCTTTGTAGATAGCAGGTACCTAATCACTTGAACCATCATCTGCTACCTCCCAGAGGGCATCAGCAGGAAGCTGGAATCCAGATGGGACTCAGAATCCAAATCTAGACACTTTGAAGCTGAATCAGCTGTTTCATTAACCAACTGCCCTGGAGGATATTTTGGAAAGAAAAGCAGATGACAGAGGAACATTAGAAACTTAGGTGTTAGAACCAAATGAGAGTTCTGTTACTTGAGCAGTTTTCAAAGGACAGCCAAGGATGTGTAAAAGTCAGAATTATTTACATAACAAAAGTAAAATATTATTGGCTTTGCCCTTCATTCTCTTGTGATCATTCCATGTTATAGTGGTTTTCAAAGCCCGGATAATATGTGATGACATCATCACACATCAACAGCAAATAAGATGTATGCTTGTGTGTTTCTGTGAAATACTCATTCAAACATTCTGACAGATGTAACGCATACACAAAAAAGATCTTTAACATGAGATTTTGAGATCAAAGATATTGAGAATCTTTATTCCAGATTCTTTTCTAAGTATGTAGAATACAAGGGGTCATAAAATAACTGCAAAGACGTAAAATGGCCAAACTGAATATGTACAATGGTTAGAGTCCCACAAAAGACCAACATGAGGCTACTTTGAAAAGTTTGTGGAAAGTGGAATTAAAAGATGACTTCCTTTTGGTGCAAAAAATTTTGAAATTCATGCATAACTTTTGATAATAGATATTTTCCAAGAAATTTTTAAAAATCCTCTAATTTGTAAAAAATATTGACGAAATATATATATTTTTTATCTTTTAATATGGTTTGTTATAGACAAGAGTTTTTGGAAAATTTGAATTTCTATAATAATATCAATCAGAAAGGTCATAACAACTTACTCTTTCAAATGTGCTGTTATGGATGTTTTTGAAGAACTATCACATGACCATAGATCTGTTTTTTTAGTTGTGTAGTCCGGAGGAAACAAATGAAAAGTAGAAGTATTAAATAACTGATGTTACAACAACTGAAAGAAAATTCACTCAGACTTTCTAGTTTCTATGAGAATAGTCATTAAGTGTCACTTTTTTTTCCTGTTCATTAAAACTTAAATACATTTGATGAAGTGAATTTTTCTCTCTTAATCTATAGGGTATAAAAAAAGATAGGGGGAAAAAAAACTTTAACAAACAAGGACCAGCATTTCATCTAAGAGTTAAGGGTTCTGGTTAGGACTTAAGTGTTCCATGTTGAAGTTCCGAGGATGGAAAGCAGCTTCAGTCTTTGACTGCAGAACCTGGACATCAGAAACAGTGAGGACACTTCGAGTAATTGTGTCATTGTAATTCAGTTGGGATTGAGCTCCTGGCTTCAGGCTGAAGGTCCAGCTCCAACTTGGACACTGTGGGCTCTGGGGGAGCGAACAAGTGGATGGCAACTTTCTGCACCCTGTCTCATTTTCATTGCTTCTAAAAGTAAAAATAATAAAATAAAATAAAGCTATCAGTCAAACAAAATCCTCAAAGCCTAAAAATGGAAGATAAAAGAAGTCTTCATCTCTTCTAGCAAACAAATTGGTTTTTGTTGAAATATTTAAAGCCATATTAAGAAAAAAAGAAAAGACTACTTTAAAGTTTGTAAATGTATGATAGAAAAAATTAAGGACGGGTTGGCTCAATTGTTAAGAGGGATTTGGATAGAGAAAAGAAATGAATCTAAAAATAGTCTTCAGAGTTTGTATTATGGACCCTGCGCCTGTGTGGGAGACCTTGAAGAAGCTGTGGCTCCTGGCTTCGGATCAGCTCAGCTCCAGCTTTTGCAGCTACTTGGAGTGTAAGCCAGCCGATGGAAGATGTTTCTGCCTGTCCTTCTCTCTGTAAATCTGACTTTCCAATAAAAATAAATAAATCTTTAAACAAAAATGACTCAAAAGGGTTTTCTGAGATCATATGCAATTGAAAAGAATCAATAATAAAAACAAATTAGAAAGTAAACACAGTCTATGAAGTATAGAAAATGAAATAAAAGGTGAGGAATACCTGGGAGATAAAAAATAAAGGTGACAGAAAGGAATCAGGGCAAACAGAGCTCACAGAGAATCTGTGATAGCGTCGCACCTGCCCATCCTGGATATATTTTTGCTATTGCTAACTTTATTTACCTTCTTGTTTTAAACTCGATGGTAGGGAATTAAAATAACTGAAAATAATACCAGAAAGTGTACGATAATTAGAATTGCAAGAGAAAGAAGAGCATGAGCTCACTTACCTAAAAAGATTAAATTTTGAAATTTATGATATAATGAAATATGCAGAAAATGAATCACTTCCACAGAATATTACCCACATCCATTTCTTTCATTCTCAGTATCTTCCTTGTTGTTTTTGGCTCCAGTGAGGCTGTATTTCTTTATTTTGTCTAGTTTTCTGATTTTTTAAGCCCTTGATATCCCTTTTTTCCACACCTACATGGTTAAGGTAGAAGAAAAAGATTGGTTTATAGTTTTTTTTTTTTTAAACCCCTATGTCCTAGGAACTGTGATGGGCACTTTATATAATGTCACTTGATCTTGGTAGAAATTTGAGATACTTAGAGAGAGTTTTATTTTTTCAATGATGAATTGTAACATGCTTTGCCAAACATTCTACAGTTTATGAATGGACAAGCTCATCTGATATTCTTACAACTAAACCATAATGGTTCCAGAGGTGTTTAATACTTGTTTATAGGCATGGAAGAAACCATAATCACTAAAATTGTCAAATAATCCTCAGTGGACATTTAATTTTAATAGAGTATAAGGGTTTGTTTTTTTAATGATCATTCTACTTGGTTATATTTTCTCACTGGAGACAGAAAAATAACGAGGCTCAAGGGTGCAGAAGGAGCCCCTCCCTTTGCTGGTTTCTCCCTCTTGGGAGGAGCTACAGACCATGTTCGCAGGTCTCAGCTGTGATGCAGTAGCGTCAGGTTCCTTGTGCTGAGCCAGTTTCTACTTTAAGATGTGGTGCTCTCTGTCTTCCTCTATGCTGTCAGTCTCATAGATCGGTGACTTCCACCCACTCATGTTCACCATCCAGTCTTTTGCAGAAATGCACCGACTGCTTATTGATTGCCTTCTCAGACTGTTCTCAAACACCAACACTTGTTTGCCCTCATGACTTGACAACTCTGTTAAAAAGATTTCTGTTCTCACATGAATCACTAAGCAATATAATTGTGTTATTATTTTAAATACTGGTACTCATAAGAGACTTTTTTGCCATGATAAGTTGCTTGCAATGAATAGTCAATAGACTATAACTGAATAAAAAGTGCTTTCATTAAAAGTTGTAGAGGAGCTGTCATCCAAGCCAAAGAGAACAGCAAATGTGATGCCTAGTGGAATATACTTTAAGATATGCAGATCCCTTGGATGCATACCAGATAAAATGAGTCAATAGATTTATTTAATTGAAATACAGTGTGGTTAGTGGTAGGAGGTGAGGATAGGAGGAAGAGAGGCAGGGAGAGGGGAAGAGGTCTTCATGTTCTGTTTCACTGCCAAGCGGGTGAAAGAGCCAGGACTGGGCCACGTTGCCTCATGGCATCAGGAATGCTATCCTGTTCTCCAGGAATTCAAACACCTGGATCATCAGTCATATCTTCTCAGGTGCATTCACAGGAAGCTGGGTTGGAAGTGGAGCAGCTGGGACATGAAACTGCTCCCTGGTATGGAATACCAGTGTTACAAGCTGTGGTGTAACCTCCTGTACCATGCGTAATTTCTATTATGTTTTTTAAACCATGAATATTAGCCGAAAAATGTTATCCAAATTATCATCTAGTTGTCATTATTATTTAAAATGGCATAGAAAATTTTTGTAAATTTAAGATGATATGTGCTTCTCTTGAGATGGGCTCATATTCTTCACTCTCCATTCCAGGAATGAAGAAAGTGTGTGGCTACTAGTGTGGTTATTGTGATGAAAACTAAGCAGACAAGAATTTCTTATGGGTGAGTCAATGCTGTTAACACAGTGGCAGTAGTTTAGAATATATGTCACCTACAGCACTGAGTTGTGATTATAAAATAAGAGATACAGAATGTATAGAAATGTTGAAGTCCCACAAGAAGAAAGCAATTTGACATTTAAAATTTTACTTTTCAAAATGTTGTCATTGATAACATTTGTTTAAGTCCTGTGGCGATATCTGGTGTAATTAAACTTCATACTTTCCATGTTATTAATGTGGAGACAATTAAAAGGTTTGTTCAAGTTTGTTGGAAACAAAAATTTAAAGAATAGAAAAATAGTTTAGTTTCTGATCTAATTAATTGAAAAATCTACCTTTCTATATTAAAAAATACTCTTTGAATAATACACGTATACTGAACTATAACAGCATCCTGACACCAGATCATATCAGGTAAGTGGAATAGAGAGTTCAAGGCAGCAGAGGCAGGTATATGGAACCTAGGAGTTCACTGGTACATTTAAAAACTGATTCTAGGGAATAAAACACTGCTTTGTATTTACACTGATTCCCATGCTGTAAAGGCAGTCTTTCTTGTAGCTGACTTCAGGATATCATTATGATGCCTCCAAGTAGGGAGATGGGACGAGAGGAGCGGTGTGTGTTTGATCCTTGTAAAGAGAAAAGCCTGCATTCTTTTGCAAAGTGTGCACAGGCTCTGCCATGGGAAGGCACACAGCACTCAGGAATATGTAGACCAAATGCAAAAGACATCAGCTATGAGATTTCCAGAGAAATGTGAATGCTCCTAATATGAACAAAGCCCACACAAATCCAAATGCTACGCCAGTCATCCATTGGGTAGAGTCATTGATAAGGGTGAGTGCTGGGGTCACACTTGTGAAGCCATGGTGCCAGAGGGCTTGGGCACAGACCAACAGGTCAAATCCCTTCTAACTAGAAGCGCATTTCTATTCACCATGGTACATCACAAGAAAAATTAGATGGATTTTCCTTGTGAACATTACATGTGCAATATTTTAAAGCTGGAGACTTCGGGGTGGTCAGAAGGGGAGCTCTCAGCTCTTTGGGTCCCAAGTCACACAAATGGTTGTGATTTTCCCCTCTTAGAGGAAGTCGAGTGCTTTTCCTGTCAGCTGTAATAACTGTTGTACTTGCTCAGGTGGAACACGGTGGGATCTGCTGCTCAAGGTCCCTTTGAGGACAATACAGGTGAAATTTGTAGGATATTGTGTAGTGCAAGCAGAATGAAGGTCATCATTCACCTTAAGCCTAGTAATTTCAATAAGAATTTCTAAGAGATATTTCTTTTTGCAAATGATGATAGAGATAAACAATCAATTCTTTTTAAAACACCTCTGGCTTATTGCTATTCCTTCTCACTTCGGGCTGTGTTAAGAAAATTGCTGCCAAATTCATAAAAGCAGAAACATTCCAAACATAGACAAAATAACAGACTCACATCTGCTACTGAGTTGTTAATAATTTACCATAAATCTAAACTTATTAGTTATTCCTCAGATAGCTTGATATATGCATTATTTATGGAGTCTTTCCCCTTTGGTAGACTACAAGGATCACATTAATTTTTAAGCAAATTGTAAAATGTTGTAATTCTTAATATCTGGTGAATAAAAAGGAAAAAAAATATAGAAAATGATGTTTAAATGTAAGCTATTCCTTGGAATTTGTTTCTCATTCACTCTGAATATCAAATATCAAAAATTATTTTCAGGATAGTTAAGATAGGGTGCACACCGAGTTTCATTAAATAAACACAGGACTCATTTATGGCTGTAAAAGTCCATATTTTCTGCCGTTGGAGAAGCCAGGAACTGAATATTTATGAAATTGGGATTGTCCCACACTTCATTGTTTTCCTCAAGGGCTTTTATGTAGACCAGAGGAGAAAATGGAAACCCAAATTCTCCGCAATCTGCCCAGTGTTAAACTCTTTCCCCAAATGCAGTGCAAAACGTTTCTTAGCATTAAAATGCATAAATTGGAGGAATCATGAAAGGAGAATTTCAGAGAAGTATCAAAGAGGCTAACTCCCCTCTTACCCACTTAATGTGGAAGTGCTCACCCAGGAAGCAAGTGCTCTCATAGTCTATAAAGATTACAAGTGGACATTTAAAGCCAGTGTAAATTCTCAAGAGTTCAGCATCATTAATATTATAATTGACCAACAGCAAATATCTGTGACCTTCTGTTCTGACACGTTCTGTGCGTCTTTGTTGCTTGCTTTATTTTATTTTATATTAAACTAGCTTCATGACTTTAGATCATTTATCAGCATTCTTAGAAACTTGTTCCCTTATCTGGAAAATGAACGCTGTGAAGTGACCTGCACCACAGAGCTGAAAGAATCAAATTAGGATGTGACTATGTGGCACTCCTAGAAGGAGTTGTCATATTATTGTGCTTTTATTATGCATGTGAGCCTGAATCTGAAACAGAACACTAAGGACATCATCTCAACCACAGAAATGAAGCCCAGAAACAAACAGAATGTTGATGATTCAAAGTGCATTGAAATTGCATGCATGATTTGGAAGGAAACCCTCACTCCAGTGGACCATAGGAATTGAAAAGACAGCACAAAGCTGTGTGTCCTAAGTGTGTTCCATTCACTCAATGCTTTGATGCAAAAGGCTTTAACAAAGTTAATCAATTTTTCTATACTCGTAACCTTTAATTTTCTCATTTATTGCATATGACTTTGCTGGTACATACCGTTTCAGTAAAACTGTCATAATTTACATTCCCTCACTTGCATCTAATAAGTGAGTTCCAGAGCCTCATCTCTGTGTGTAGATTCTCTTGGAGAGGAAAGATAATACTGTTGAATAAAGCTCTTGAGGAGACCAGAGCAAAACTTCTCCCACTTTGTTGTGTATGGAATTACCTGAGGACTTGATTGGTTTAGTTTGTTGAGGGACATGTGGTGGTGGTGGTGGTGATGATGGAGATGGTGGTGGGTGTTGAGTTTCTTCTTAGGTGATGCTGATTGCTGCAGGCACATATTGGAGCACAAAGAGGCAATAGAGGATTGAATTCAGGACGGTCCATCTGTCTTTACAGGAGACAAAGCAGATGGTGTGGCTGCAGTGGCTGGTAGGTTGGTGGGATTTGTCAGTGGATATGAAGGCACAAAGCCTGATGAATTCTCCAAAGTTCCATGTGTGGAGAAGACTGATTTGTGTTTGGAGAATTAATAATTCAGATTTTTTTCTTTAGATATACTGGTCTAATTATTTTTACTGTTTAATCAAATGCCAGATATCCAGTTTGAATTAGATTGCTCTGAAGTAGTCTACTTGGTGAAACCTCAGCAAAAGTATTGTGTTTAATACCTAACCCTGACAGATGGCGTGGAGCATCTGGAGTCTCAGAGGAGACAGGCTACTTGTTGACTGCCTCTATTCCTCATTGGCTTAGAGGCAAGGCCATGGAGAAAAATGTGATGCCAGAAATAGATTCCCCTCTTTATGACCCTAACCTGTTATGAAAGCAGTTGGGTCATTTTTTTTTTTGAAGTTTCCTAGTTACATCGAACAAAGTATTGCTTTTTATTTAATGGATGACTCAAAACCAGATGTAATTCTGGCCCAGGATTTTGAAATATGACAGAATTTGGAAGATGTGAAGGAGAAGTCTATAAATTAGTCTTAGAACGTTGAAGAACAGTGAATGAGAAGAATATTTGTTTCTTCTTCAGGACATTGAACCATTTTTGTACAGCACTACTGAGAGTCTTTATATCTTGATTACAGCAGCAATCAATTTCTGCTCATCCTTTTTTGTGCTTCTGGATATCACAGTAATAGATATCACTTTAAATTTGAGCGAACAGATAATGTGCATAAACAGGCTGAAATGAGGTTACGTTTTCTGTAGATCTGTCTTGAGAGCTACGTTGGCTCAGTTTATAATTTTAGTAATTAAGAAATGTTTAATAGAGTAGCATTTCCCATTAAAACAGCAAGCAAATGCCAAGAATGAGAAAAATTTTAAGCTGTTGACCAAGAGTTACTAAAGACTTTCTGTTGTATTTTTTATCCAGTTTTTTTTTTTAAATTACATCAATAGCAATTTCTCCTTACTTAGGATCTTACACATTTTTTTCCTTTTTTTTCTACCTGTTTATAGTAAATTTTCCAAATATTTTCCTTTATACATCTGAAAAGTTTCAGACCTCAATATTATGGTGCTAAACTACTGAAATAGCTAATAACTAGGAGGATATAAATATATATTAATTTATAGCAAATTTCTACACATAATGGACAGTTATCTAGCTTTTAATTTTATTGGTATTAAGAGAAAAATTTTATGCATTCTATACTACAGTCAAACTTCTCTTGCTCCATTCTTCCATCACCTGTACCTGTCTCTCTTCCTTTTCTTCAACAGTATTTGCGAAGTCATAATTTAGATCATGCCATATTCATAGGTTTAATTTGTTGCTAATCTTTTTCTGACCATTCTTGAAGCTGGGTGGGATGAATGTGCAAAGTTGAAAGCTGGTTTGTATTACTTGTATTTCTGGGTAGATGAGTGAATCTGCTATTTTGATACTGAGTGATCCTTTGTGGATCCCAAGAATGGTATATGGAACGTGTATAGCATAGGCTGTTACTAAAAGAAATAAAGAGTAATTTTGTCAGTTAACTGGTATTATTTTATGAAAAATAACCCAGTCCACTTGGTTGGACCAGTGCTTCACTAACTGCTTTTCTATTCAGTTTACTTTTTCATTGGCTAAGCAGTTAGCTAAATATTGAATGAAAAGTACTAAACTGTAAAAATTCTTCCTTTTCATTCCTGACTGTAATATATTTAGCTGGAACTTGTTATATATAATGTCACAATAACCAGTTGAAAAACCCTAAGACCTGTGTATTTTCTATTAAAACATTAAGAATTTTTTTTAATGGGTGCCCTACAAAACAAATACAAATCCCTTTCGAAGTGGCAGAGTATGAGGAATTGAGAGAATTTTTGTAGAGGAGACAA